TCGGTCAAAAACGGGGTCTGACCGGACTTATCCGGCTACCGGCCATGAGGAAGTGACGTCGTTTGGCTTGTTCTAGAGCTTCTTCTGAAATCTGAATTGAATCCTGAACCCTAGGCCTAGCAAAACTATCGCATCCCTTCCTTTTCTTCCTCTGCCGAGCAGCAGCCAGCAGAGCCCTCGCCCGCGGCCACAACCAGCGCAGCCGCCGCCGCTCCCTCGTTTTGACCCAACTCCCTGCCGCACGTCTCACCGCTGCTCATTCGCCCCCTCGTCTCAACCCAGGTCCCCAACTCCTCGCCGCCGCTCTCCGTCCGACGCATCGACCCAACTCCCCGCCGCCTCGACAGCAGTCCCGCCCCTGCCTCAATACTAGCTTAGATCGTTTCAGGTGGGTGCTTAATTAGGTTTTTATTGTGTAGTTTCAGAATTGGAAAAGCACATCTTGGTTCTGTTTCCATTTTCAGTTTCCACAATGAAATCGAGCATTGGTTGTTGTTAGATAGAGAGAGTGGGGGAGAAAGAAAGAAAGAGCATTGACGTTTGTTTGTTAATTAGGAGTTAGTAAGGAATGCAGCAGGTTAATTTGGTTGATGGAATTGATGATACTTTGTTATTTTGTTAATTATTTACTTGTTTTACAGGTTGATAGATAGAATCGAGTAATGTATCAAGTCAGCCGGCTTAATCCGGTTGAACCCCGATTCGACCATTAAACCTCAAACCTCTTGTTAAACCGGTTATAGGACTTAATCCGGTTTGAAAACCTTGCCCTGCTCTGTCTCTTTTTTTCCAACATCAAAATCCCTACAAGAAATTAAATAAGCTATATTTCAGTTAAGAACAGTCATTGTGCGTGACGGTAGGGAGATTAGTTTGAGAGGGAATTATAAGAAAGTATGGACACCCGCGGGTACTCGTTATTCGTCCCGTACGGATAATGGGTACCAGTTAACCCGTAAAAGTTTGGGATATGGGATGGAGTTTCCTCTTCAAATGAGACTGGGTACCCGTTTCAAACGGGACGAGTACCCAATCCCGTCCCGTTTTCCCCCACTAATTATGTTGCCGAACTTATATGAGCGACATCGTTTTCTTTACATCTATTAGCTGTTCGGATAAACATTGTTTATGGTTTCAAATTACCGCTAGCATGCTGCCACGTGGTTAAGACAACTCTATAGTTTGGATGAGCATGAGCTATTTTATTAACTATATATAGTGAAATGCACAAATATCGGTGGAAATGTGTGTTGTCTTCTCCAATTTGTGATGTAAAACTCACATGGTATTATAGCCTTCAACCAAAAGGTCATGATTTCAAATTCTTATTACTATCCTAATATAAACAATGGTTTAGCACAAGGGAAGATATTGTCAACATGCGCAAACTTAAAGTCTAATGACTTAGTCGCACAAAGGATGATATGTTTAACTTGTGTTAACTATAAAAACATAAATAAAAAAATTCGTTTGAGAGGACGTGTGAGAAATAAAAAACTTCACAAACCATTTTCCAACTACTCGAGTTATTTAGACTAATTGGTTTGTTCACTAACACTTAATTGGGTAGGCTATGTATACTATATAGGTGGAGTTCAGCAGGAGCGGAGGCAGGATTTGGAGACCGGATGGGGGGAGGGGGCGAAAATAATTCTGAACAAAATAATATTTTATAATTATCTTTAGAAGTACACGATCTTCTTTTTTGGATAAATACAATATATTAACCACAACTATTATGAAGCTGGGAATTATAGCCACAACTATGAAAATTCAAATTATTAGCCAAACGTTAACGATCTGTTAACAATTTCGTTAGTAATTATGACTCAAATTTTATGTTTTAAAGTTATAAATTAAAAGCAGTCTGACATGGCTGCTGCCGTGGCTGATGACGTGGCCTTCTCTGTTAAAAATTTAATAACAGTAACGGACAGTTAGCCATATCTTGACCCACAATAATAGTTATGGCTAATAATTTGAATTTTCATAGTTGTGGCTATAAGTCCACTCTTCATAACAGTTGTGGCTAATATATTGTATTTATCCTTCTTTTTTTATGAGGAAGTATACAATGTTCTTTGAAATAATTGAAATCACTCAAAATAACATCTAAACTAAAACTTTTAACTGTCACTCTTTCAGTATAAATATAGGTGACTTTTCCTTATACTATTTAACAATAATGGGATATGAGAAGAGGTTTCGTTTTGGTTTAGCTGACTTTTTATTTGTACTTTCTCATAATAAATGAGGACATGAGAGATGTACGATGACAAAATGGGATATGAGAAGAGGTTTCGTTTTGGTTTAGCTGATTTTTTATTTGTACTTTCTCACAATAAATGAGGACATGAGAGATGTACGATGACAGATTGGGGATTAAATAGGAGATTTCCGTGGACATGGGAGATTTCCGTTTCCATTTGGTTTGGGGAATGCGAAATATATATGACAGATGGAAATTGAACCCATGGTCTTTAAGAGACAAGTCAAGCACGGTTACCTTTAGACTACATGACTATTACTTGATAAAATTAACAAAATAAGTTATACTTATAAAATTTGTACTAAATATTCTTAAAGTTCTGGGGGCCGGGATCAATCACGGGGGATGGGGGGACCTGCTCCGCCCATGGATTTTAGTGTCCAAATAACAAATTGTTGAGTAATTGATACGGCCTATGATATGGTTGCATCATTGCCTATACTGAATTACTAGCATGGGCCCCGGCCAGTTGGGCGGGGAAGGTGAAGTATGAAATTTGATAATGTAATGGTGTGTATAACTTATTGTTGTATAATTTTTTTTTTTGGGAAACAATGATAAAGATAGTAAATTTTAACAGGAAAGAGACATGGATGATGCAACGAATCAAAAATCAACCTTATGAACCAAAATCAAGTACCTGTTACATTGTGAAACAATACTGGTAAGTAATTTTTCCAACTCTCGTCTGTCCGCCCATACAAATCCTGTCTGCACAAATGTCACAGAGTTCTTGCCACTTGAATCTCGACTCAATTTTCAGCATAGTGGATTCACCATCTTCATAATCGATCCCAAAGCCAGAGTTTATCACCATTCCACCGAATAATAAGCTGAAACTTCTTAAATTTACCAATGTCTGCAATTTATAATAAGTTTAATTAGTATTGATGCTACACAAACATTATCCAAAACCATATTTTTAGGGCTACGAAAATAATATCATCCAAAACCATAAACAACCGCAACTAACTAATCGAAACATGGACCATAATTAAGCATATGAGTATACTAAACAAATTCCTCTAAATAACATCAATCATACCATAATTAATCTAAATATATCTTACACAACATATTTGCCACTAACCGCAATTCATTTAATACAGACATATAATTATTAAAAATCAAAATCTAAACAATACAGGATTATAACATATAAAAAATTTTGTGTTTCTGTAACCGTAATGGCTGAAAGCAGGTTGAGAATGGGATTTTTTCAAAAATTTGGGTGGAATGGAGCAGAAGATTGAGGCAATGTACGTGAGGGGATAGGCTTTTTATATGAAAAATCATCCACTAATCACCGCAATGGACATCAGCGGTGAAGATATCACCGTCGTCGCCTACAACAGTGAAAGGTAGGTCGTTGTGACCTAATTTCTAACTACCAGAGCTGGGAAACGTGATAAAAAATCACTGTTTTCAATAACAGTGGTGATATGCTCACCGTTATTGACCACAACGGTGATTGGCATCACTGTCTTGGACAAAGACATCAGCGGTGGTGATTGTTTCCCCACTTTTCTTCAAAGCAGTGATAGCTTCACCGTCATTGTCAAAGACAGTGATAATCATTACTGTCATGGACAATTGCGGTAATTATGAAACATACGTACTTTGAAAATTATTTTTATAACTACTGTATTTTGAGAATTATTTTATAGAACTAGTACATTTTGGGATTTTTTCCGAAAAATTGGATATTAAGGTCACTAGGGCTCAAGATAGGGTGCATAACCATGGGTTATGCACCCATCAATAACCAAATATGGACCCTTTATTTAGAAAATTCAGACTTAAGGAAGGAGAATTAAAGACCATTTTTATTTTTGTAGCTTTCTTAATTGACTCATATCTTTTTCATTTTAACTCGGATTTTAATTTTTTTTTGCACAGATGAAACGAGTTCATCGTGCTCTACAAAATGAGATCAATTTTCAATATTTTTTGAGAAAAAAATTCTGGCCTCTCGGTACCAACTGCATACCATATGATATCTTCTTCGTTTTTAATTCGTTTTTGAAAAAGTTTGCACAGAAGGGACGAGTTCATCATGATCTATTGGATCTACAAATTTCTGGGTGAACAAATTACAGGACCAAAAAATACCACACAATACCATACAATACCACCCTGGTACGGGGTGGTATTGTATGGTATCTTCTTCGTTTTTAATTCGTTTTGAAAACGTTTGCACAGAAGGGACGAGTTCATCATGATCTATTGAATCTACAAATTTCTGGGTGAAAAAATTACAGGACCAAAAAATACCACACAATACCATACAATACCACCCTGGTACGGGGTGGTATTGTGTGGTATACAATGTTAAAAGTCGTAAATGACAATTAATATACTTCTACTATCATGTATTCAACCATCCTACAGTCTTGGTTTGTTCATACCACCATGGTACGTTTTTCGAACCATAGGTATGCTTTTATTTCAATACCAGTCAATACCATATGGTATAGACTGGTAAAAAATGGCTCAATTGTTTTTGTTCGAAAAATATATTTAAGTGGATATCATTTTGAAGAACACAATTAATCTGATCTAACTGTGTAAAAAAAAAAATTCGACTTAAAATGAGTGAAAAATCGTCCGTCAAAGATTAAAGAGGAGAAAATTAAAGGCTTTCCAGGAGAGAGAAGATGCTGATATCATGCTGATGTGGACGGATTACTCATAATTACTCACCATAATGTTACTGATCTGATCCATTCCTGTCACTAGACACACCGCACATGTCAAGTGGAGGTGTATCCCAGCCGCAAAAACCTTCATTAATGATTATCTCCTCTCCTCTCCTCTCCACTTAGAGTTTCTTTTCTCGTTCAGTATCTTCCGGGCAAACCTCCACCCAACAGGCGATGGTGGGGACGATGGCGGCAACTCTATCCTCTCCGTTCACTCCTCTTACCTCTCTTCTCAGACCTTCTTCCTCCAAGTCCACCAAGCTCCACCTCCAACCCTCCTGCTCCCATTTTTCATACCGGACCGCTGACGTCAAGTTGCTGTTACACGACGCCTTGGATTCCTTGGGCATCGACACGTCTCATGCCAGGGTAATTGTCCATTAGATTAGATTAGATTGGATTTGGTCCCTCTCCTCTCTTCTGCTCTCCTCTCCTTGATGCACTGTTTTCGCAGGAGGCTAGGCAGGGGTTTTTGTCCCAAATCGAGAAATTCTCCGACGTGGAGAGGGAAACCAGCATTAGCATCAATCGGAGCGTTGATTTGGGGAAGACAGCTCTGTATATAGCCGCTGAGGACGATTCTCTCATATCCCACTCCTCGGTTCCCTTGCCTGTGGATGCCTTCATTGAAAGACTGGATGATCTCTCCATGGGTTACTGCTCCACTTATACCTCCTCCTTGTGCTCTTCGCCTCAGAATTTCCTCCACAGCTTAGACAACTATTTGTACGTGGACAAGGTAACCCACTTGCACAAACCTCTCTCGACCGTCTCCTATTCTATTCTATTTGCTGCTGATTGCTCGATTTTCGCTCCCATTCCATCAGGGTTTTAGAAGAAGCAGTTTAATCAATCGGTTCGAGCCAAGGGATTTGTATCTTCACTCTGTAAGAAATGCCTACATGCATGCTTGCTGCCTTGTCTAGTTGAACTTAGCCAGCCAGCCAGCCAGCTTGCTTTAGGAATCAATAAGCATCTTCCTTCTCCGTGCCGTGCCGTGTCTTGTTCTAATTTCATTGAGCAGGTTTTGACTCGTCGATCAGGTTCAGCTCTCATGCTGTCACTTATCTACTCTGAAATCCTGAAAATGCTTCGTCTTTGGGGGCTCGTGGATTTTGATTGTGAGATATACTATCCCTATGATTCCAAGGACCTTCCCAGGGGTTATGATAAAAAGAAGAGCAAGGAATCGGATCGGGTGCATATATTGACATCGCAAACTCTTTTGAAAGAGGCCGGTTCTCCTCTCTCTCTCTCTCTCTCTCATGCCTTTTCTTTATTGTTCTGGATAGAAAGAAGAGCATGTCCTATCTATGGGTTTCTTTATAACTAACTTTTTATTACCTTAGCATGTAACTTCAAATTTTATCAGGTTTTTCTGGCAGCTCAAATGGTTCTTCACGTTGCCTTGCCTCGCCTCGTTAAGGCTGATGTGAATGACTGCCAACTATTACTCTTTTCATGTTGTCTAGGTATTGAGAAACTTGAAGGAGGCGTTCTGGCCGTTTCAATATGATGAGACCAGGAGCTTATTCTTGAGTGCTGCAAATGCTGCCAATTGCGTCGCTACGCCTAACGCTATTGAAGACAGGTTCTTTCGCTATCTTTGAACTTCTTGTACACTACACTAGTGTGGTTCTCGATTCTACAAATTCTGCAGCCTTCATCTTGTGGTTTATATGGATGCCGATTGTCAACAGTGGCTTTCAGCTAGCATCTGCAAAGGCTGCACAGCACAGGTTAGATCGTGGAGTTTGGACCAGTGTAACTTTTGGAGACATGAGACGTGCAATGTCTGGTATGTCTCTTGAAACAATTTTTCTATCCATATGGACAAGGCGCTTGTACTCGAGAATCGACATCTTAATTTTCTGGAGGATTTGAGTGCTTTTCTCGACTTAACTAGTATATGCTTATGTAGGTGTTCTGTTATGAGTTTATCTGTTAGTTTATGGCATAATAATTTTCAACTAGGGGTTGGATTGTTACTGACTGTGATCCAGTTGTGTTGGGTTGTGTTAGTTGTAGCAGGCATAGCGAGAGTTAAGGAACCTGGCCTTTGTCTATTTCAATTCCTTTAGATTCAGAACCGACTATGTACGAGCCTTGTTATTGAAATACTCATTTCATCTATCATTCTGATTCTGCTCCATTGAAAAGGACGATGGATGGCTACAAAATCTACCTAGTTCAAATTATGAGGATGGTAAAATGTGAAAACTTGAAATTTCTTGTATTCCTGGTCTCATAAGGGAGTTTATGTGGTTTGCAGCTTGTGAACGTCTAGTGCTCTTGGGATCTGATCCCAAAGATCTAAGAGATTATAGCATTCTTCTGTATCATTGTGGGTTCTATGATCACTCCCTTCAATATCTCACGTTGTTCGAGGAAATAAAGGTATAAATCATTCTTTATATGGACGGAGCAAGCTGCCTTTTATACTTGGTTATTGAGAGGGCCAAATATCTATCAAAATTCTGATCAGAGTGGACTTGTTGTGCTGTCTCAGGGATCAGTGCAACAAAACCAATCATCCACTGGCATGAGCAGATTGGAAGATGATGCTACGGAGAAGTTGATGATGCGTCTTAACCTGATCTTCATGGAAGAAGGTTGGAGCGAGCCTTCACGTGTCAGAAAATTTCTGGGAAACAATTCTGAACCGTGGTAGATAGTAAAGACTTGCAGCCACTGATATTGACAAATAAAAAGTAAACACTTTGAGCAGTAACAATGAAAAAAAGGTGGATTAGAGGGCACGCGCAAAACACGACAGAAGGGGTGCTATGCTCTGCGTGGAATTCCTGAGAAATCCGTGGTGATTGCTTGCTTTTGAGATTGCTAGCAACTCCGCGCCCTGCATGTGGAAGTCAGTCATCTCTTCGATGAAAGCTCTTCCTTGATAGGCAACTGCCCCCACTTGAACTAGGGGTCGTTAGTTATATTGATGTATTATAGTATACATGGTTTGATTTCTATGATAGTTATTGTATTATTTAAATATGCTATATTATTTTTAAGCTCAAACGTCACTTTTATCCTTTCATTTTAATATAAAAAAGCTTATCTCAGTTAGTAATGATTCATTAACAATCATGGGCTACATAAATCTGAAACTTCTGTTGTTGATAGCAAGGCAAATTATAAATCAGATTGCAACTGCCCTCATTCACGGGAAAGAAAGAAGTAAGTTTTGCAAGGGTAACTTACAGATCTCTTCATAAAAAATAGGAGGTAGAACCCATAAAGATTTCTTTTTCGATTCATCCCTGGAGTTGAATACCTCATTAAAGAATTGTTTTTTATCCAATCCGTAGGAATCAATAAAAAAGGCAACTCATAATTGGCGAATTCGTAGGTTCAATTCCTACTGGATGCACGCCAATGGGACCCTCCAATAAGTCTATTGGAATTGGCTCTGTATCATATGGGGTATTGTACTGCCAAAAACCTTCCACCATTTGGACTCCAGGTGTGGCCTAGATAAATATCGGATTGACTGGCGGCCGGCGCTCCAGACCAAGATGCCGGATTAACAGAAATAAAACCAACAACAAAATTGGAATGTTGTTCAGCAATTTTGACTACTGCTGCAGTGTAGTCTCCTGTTGCAAAGTTACAGGCTGAGATCATTTCAACAAGCAACAATAGACCTCTGCCTTTATGCAAACCCTTATTAGAAGAATCAAATGAGAAACAGTAGTTAGATATGACCCCCAATATGGATTTTTTTTTTTTTTGACAATACCCCCAATATGGCTCGCTGAGCTCATAGTATAGAATTTGCACTCAAGCTTTTTGCAGGGAAACCTTTAGCTTCAGGCCATCAACTATTCCAGGACTTGAAATAATGTAACAGTTGACTATATCAGCCTGCTCCAAAATCCGGAAGATTCCTTGATCGATTCATTTCGTACATATCATTGTCAATAATTTACACGTATCAATAACTATCCCATTCTAGGCCAAGTTTAATATAAAATTGCATTGTCGTATAGTGGCAATCAAGGTCGTATTTACTTGGATCTCGGTGCCCTAGCCTACTGATATGATCCCAAATGGCCAACTCTACACGTTTTTATTGCTTGCCAAAGAAGCTATCAAGGTTGGAAAGAAAAGAGCAGAATTTGGTTAAGTGTTGGAACAGTTTCGAGATGCCCACTTTGGAGGCTTGGTTTGCACAATTGGCTCAATGAAAGTTCAAGGATAATGGCTTGTATTGAATATGAAGTGTTTATCTACACATGGGTATGCTTGGAATCTCGAGGAGAAGTCAGGAAGGTCATTTACCAAGCTTCTCAAAAGTGTATGTTAAAACAGGAAAACTGCCAGAATTTGGCCAAGGCAGAAAACATGTTCGTGAAGCCTACTTTGGAGCTCAATTCAAGACGTGTATGGATGATAATCGAGTCCAGAGGCTTATACCACATGAAAGTAGGTATGTTTTCCTACAACTAAAAGGCATGGATGAAGAAATGGATACTTGGAAGGCTTCGATCAAAAGACTCAAATTTAGTACAGAGTCACAAAATTCTGCCTTGTAAAACAGAATTGTTTTCTTTATTCGATTAGGATTAGGTTCTTTTTGCTACTTTTTAGTTCTTTTTCGTAGTAGAATGTAATTAGGAGTTTATTGGACGTGTGTAACCCTATCTAGGCCTATTTAAGTTTTTTATTTCGTTGTAAATCAGCAGACATTGATTAGACGAATTGAGAACCTTTTGGTTTACGGGCAAGTTGCGACTTGTGTTGGGTTTGGTGCATTCCAAGCTCGTGAACTCTTGTATCGATTGAATAGTCACTCCAATCGTGGTCGGGCATCTATTCATATATCAATCGAGCCTTCCCCAAGTGTGGAATTGCATGTTTGATTCAGTATTATCCCAAACACCCAATAGCCAAAACATCCGTTTTTTGTTCGAATTTCGTTTTAATCAATCCATTTTGCTGCGTACTTTAATAAAAATCCAACCCCTCCCCCCTACCCCAGGGTTGCATCACCTACTTCCCATGTTGTTGTTATCTACTCAATCGGTTTAAGTGGTTGTGTTGGAGGATTAAAGTGAAATAACTAGTAGAGAGAATAAACAAGGATAAAAGCAGGAACATCGGGGAACTAACCCTCGCCCTAGCCTTGTTCTATCATGCAAATGTCTAAACATATTGGGTTAAGCGACTGTGGTGAGTAAGCTTTTTTAGCGGGCTTTCATGATTGTCCACACGCCTTCGAATATGACCTACCTACTCCATTGTCACCTTGGTATAGGTTCACGTATCGGAGGCTTTAAGAACTTAGCTCATTTCAATGGGTACTACCCACAGTCGACACCGAGGTTTCATCCTAGGTTCCATCTAGGAAGGCAGTCTTGTGGCAAGGATACGGTAGCCTCGTCCACCACAATACCCTATTCATTCATCTAACCCTAATATGTCAAATGGCGCATACCCGTATAACCCTAAAACTCCATACCCAGCGTAGAAACTCAAGTAGGCTAGAAGAGAAGATTATGGAGACTTACCCAAACACAATTCAAGTAGATGAAACATTAAAATTAAGTAGACAAACACATTCATTCAAAACCCTAACATATTAATTAATTACATAATAGTCCTAAAACTAGGGTTTGGGTTTTAGAACCCCTATTATCTTAAGAGACTACTCCATAAAGGAGGGAAGAAGATACATAGAAGAATTTGGGGAAGGCTTGATGTTGAAGAAGATGGCTCCTCTCCTCTAGCTTATCCTCCTTCTCCTTCCTTCAGCTTCTCTCTCTTCTTTATCTCTAAACTATAAATTTCTATCTCAAAATCAGCTCCCTTAGAATGGGGGAAGATGGGCAGATCGCGATCGTGATACTTTCCTTTGACTTCACGATCGCGAACTTCGTCGCGGCCAGGGAAGTCGCTGGCCGTGATCCGACCATTGAAAGTTTCTATTTCTTCTTGGGTGGCTTCCTCATGAAGTTCGCGCCAAAGGCTCTAAGTTCCCGGTCGCGAACTATAGTCCTCAGACAACGGTCTTCTCTCCTGCTTCGCGGTCTGATATCTCGGTCGAGATCTTCCTCGTCCATGCTGTGATCTGCAGCTTCCTGCCATTTTGCTATAATTGTTCCCTTTTCTTACCTAATTCAAATATATCATCTAAAGCACCCTAAAATCACGACATAATCAAATATGAACAAAATATGGATGCAATCGATGATATTCTTCTGATTGTGCACGTGAATTAGTACGAAACCATCCTAAACATGAAGGGTAAATAACATCAATTTAGGTGTTATCATTCCTCTGCAAACAAAAAATACGAATGGCTCAGTGTTGTTTATTATGATAATGCCAGAGATTAAAAAACACAGCTATAGGAAGTCAAATCTCACCATTTATATTGCATTGTAACTGTGCTATGAATGTCTGCACACTTATGGTCTTCAAATATCATGATTGTATTTATTACATGGTTGCAATCTTCACACAAGTATTAACCCCATCCAACTAGCTACTCAAAATTTAACAGGATTGGTGTGGTTCAATGTCAACATGAGTGACTCGCTAAAACACAACTTCTTGCAATGGTCAAGTGTAACCAATGAAAGAGAATGCATTATAGTGGCACAAGTAATAAATATCAAATCCACGGGTCTCTAGAGTTACTATTACTCAACTTAAGTTCATTATCTACCAAACCATATTAAGATAGAGGAAACTATAACTGCTCTAGCAAACTACAGTTAAAATTAATCTAATGATAGGTTGGGAACTCACTTAGATATGGATCCCCCTAACTCCTCAATTAGGTCCAAGTTGTAATTTTCTTTGGTCGTCTTACTGTTGATTAAACTGTGGAAGATTCGATAATAGCTTGAAATCTCTTAAGCTGACCAAGCCCTCTTAGACACAATACCTGACAGACGACTAACCCTAGAATGTTAAGCAATTCACACAGATCTACACTATTTTGATTGAATTCCAGTACAAAGCAGTGAATTCATTGACTCCCGCACAATCAATTCATTGCTATTAATCAAGGAAGCTCTCTTAACCGAATTAGATTCTATCTATCATTGGTTAAAGCAGAAATAAAAAGAACATGATGAGGATCCCATTGACTCAAATAATCATACTTCAATTGAATAAAACCAATCTGTATAACATCCAAAGGTTCAAACAACAAAGATCATAGCACATGGAACTAGGGCTCCTCAACCTAAGTGAAGGGAAGTTACTCCATAGAGAAGAAAGAGAATGCATAAATCTGATCTAGATCTTCAATCTCCATCTCCAAACTTGATTCCCGAGCTCCTGCGGCGAAGAAATCCTCCAAAATAGCTCCAAGAATGTTCCCAAGTTGCTCTCTCTCTCTCTCTCTCTCTCTCTCTCTCTCTCTCTCTCTCTTTTCTCTAGGGTTCATCCCTTGGGTGTTTGGGATCCAAAATCCAGCTCTCCCTCTCCAAAAATTTCAAAACAACCTTTATACCCGAGCTGAAATTCACACGGCCTACTTGCCCGGCAGTGCAAATCAAAGTTTAGGTTGTGCAAACTCTCTGGAAGACTTGCACGGTCGTGCATATATTTGCACGGCCGTAAACATTTTCCAACATGCACTCCTAAGCTACGTTTGAGCTCTTTTGACTTTCGATTTAGGTGTCGTTTAATCCCAGATGCTCGTAGTCTTGTCCACTTTCTTTTCATGACAAGCTTACATGACTCTTTGTCCATAAAATAAGGTATAAATCCATTCTTCTTCGGGTCATACCCACATTTCTTCTCCCGAGTTGCCAATTGATCTCTAATTGACTTTAAACTTGCGCCTATGCTTCACTTTACGTGCTAGGACCTGCAATGTGACAAAGGAACACAACCTAGCATAAATTAGTCTAAAGTAGGATAAAACCAAAGCTAAACAATCAAGGAATGAGGGGTAAAAACATGTACAAATAGAGTGTTATCGATGGGTTTTATGCATGCATATCTCTGGTCCAACCTACACAACAAAGGAAGCAAAAGAAAAGGTGGGGAAAAACATTTCACTGAACCATGTCTACTCTTAGTCGCATAGGCCTATTCCTTGCAAAAACTATGCACAGAAAGAGAAGGATTCCAATAAAACTCTCACTTTCTCCATGAGTTGAAGCAACTCTTCCGCAATCCCAATATCAGCAGCCAAACACAAATTGCTTTCTTTCTTCACCATCACTTGAAACAACTTCGTCCCAGTTGGATTCTTAGCAAGTTTGGCCCTTTCCACCAAACTCAAACCATTGACAATGACGTTCTTCTCCACAATCCGCACCGCATGCCGTGTCGTAGCCATTTTTCTGTTCTCCTCCAAAAATGTGATGACTTCCTTCTCCACATCATCCCCCAACTTTCATTTCCCTCTAAAAAACCTAACCATATCACTCAAATTGACCAGTGTGTGCAATTTCATACCCATGTCCTCCAAATTCTCCCTAACTCTCGCTAGTCACGAGATCATAAATAATCAGGGGCTTTGATTAGCTTTGAAGTGGTCTTGGAAGTACCCTAGTCTTTAACCTCCTTGCGGTGCATGACCATGCATTTTCCCCAAATACACAAGTTCTTAAACAAATTCTCAAAATACATACGTTTTATAAAATTTTCCTAATGTACACATGTTTGAAGAATACTATTGTTGTCAAACGCGGTGAAGATCTTTCACCGCTATTGTCAACCGCAGTGAAGTAATCACCGTCGTTATCTAATGCGGTGAATAAATTTGAACAATCACCATTGTTGATGACAATGATGAAATATAAGGTATGTTTTAATCTGATATTGTTTAAATTGTTGATGTTTTAGTAGTTATATGTTTGTATGTAATGAATTACTATTACTGACTAGTATGTTATAGTAGAGATATTTCGATTAATTATAGTTGAAGGATGTTAGTTAATTATGGGTTTAGATGATTTTGATTAGTATACTCATGTTATGGTAATGCTAATTATACTACATGTGTCAATTAGTTAGTTGCTCTTGTTTATAGTTATGGATTATGCTTCTAGAGTATTTTGTGTCGCCCTAAGTAGTAATTATACTACATGTTTCGATTAAATTGCAGCATGTGTAAATTCAAGAAGTTCCAGCTTCTTATTCGGTGGAATGGTCGGTTACAAACTCTGACATTGATTCACGTGGCAAGAACTTTGTGACATTTGTGCAAACAGGATTTGTATAGGCGGACAACGAGAGTTGGTAAAATTACTTACCAGTATCCACGACAGCAGGGAAGACTTCATCGCTTTAGAGGTGATGACAATTAATTCACTGCGTTTCTTTACACAGTGATGCATTCACCGTTGTTGGCCAAAGCGGTGAACTTCTTCCCCGCTTTTTACATATGCGGTGAAGGTGAAACATGTGTAGATTAACTAGGTGTTTCTGTTAGTCACGTTAGCAAAAAATTGATGTCATTAACGGAGACTTACGGATAGGACCAAAGGGTAATAGAATTTAAATATTTAACTAATTCTTGAGATTATGAATGTAATAAAATATTTTTAGTGATCAAACAAGATATTTTAGTAATTACAATCACCAAACTTATAATTTACCCCTTTATTTTTGTTAACAAACCATTCAGAATCAAATGAATGAGGATTTTATTTCATTTTAAAATAAATTCTTATGTTCAAAATATCATATTCAAATCTTAGAAATAAATTAAATTAAAAAATAAAATCATGTTTGGAATACATTTAGAATTGACTTAAATTGAAATTTTTTAACCATACTTGATGTCAATTGTATTGCCTATACTAAATTTACCTGGCACTAAGGCCATAATGATATTCCATCGGGCCTCTCGCAGAACCCTTACTTAAAAAGTGAGGTACGCTTCTATTGAAGTTGAAGTCGGGTTAGGAGGTAGGAGGTTGAGGTGCCTCCGGTTTTGCAGAATTTAAGACTTCAGAATGTAAAGCATTGCAGAAAAGTAAATCTACGCTACTAGAGAAGTGACAGAGCAAAGAAGGAAAGTGTTGCATATGTAATGTTCCCCCTAGGTATCCTAACCATGTATCCTCGATGATCAGAGCATACGAGCTATCGGTTTCTTATTTCGTTAGATCTCACCTTGCGTCGAAGCATTACCCAAACTAATGGGCGACAAGGACCCTTCAAATTTCTCCCTTGAGGAGTCACGCCATTTGATTGAATGAGTTTCGATGGAGTAGGAGTGCTATTTTTGGACCCATACTAAACGACTAGGATTTTGATCTTTGCACCTCGAAGGGGTGCAAAATCGACTAAGCAATCATTCAAATCAACAAATAACAGAATAGAGAAAACCAAGCATTACACATATAAAAATCAAACAATCGTATTAAACCAAATCATCGAGTTTACATGGTTAGAACCCCTAGGGCTCACATACCTACGCAACTACGAAACTTAGCCAATCATGGGGAGGGATTCCTGGGTGTTCATCGATGAAAACAAAGAAACGAGGAGGGCACAAGAATCTGTGGTTGGAATAGAGAAAACAGGCCTTAGTGCGCCATTTTTTCCACCTATTCTCCCTCTTAGGGCGGGCTCATTCTAAGTCAAGAGAGTTGCTTAGCCGACAGAGTAATGACTCTTCCCTGACCTATTGTCTCCGCCTCCTGAACTCTATCTCTAGAGCCCTATTTATAGATATTCGATAAGGCTTTTTGAGAAGGAAAACACGCCCCTTCTGTGTCATTCTACCAATTAGATCCCTCCAAACATGTGGCCAGTGAATCACGATGTACCGAGATAACTTCCTGGCGAAGTGGATGGTCTCCCTAAAATGGCGTTGTGGCCCTTTTCCTTCATTAAAATGGCGCTTTTGCTTAGGCTTCTGGTCTTCGAATCCTGCCTCCAGCAACTTGGGCTCGATGTCCCATACGGCTTCGAGGTGGTCCACTAGAGTGCTTTGCCCTGAAAATTGCCAAAACGATACCAAAAGCATATCAATCGTTGAAAAGCAATCCTAGGGTTGCTAGAACACACTTGAAGCACTAATAGAAATAATCCAATGTATTATGATACTATTGATGGGAAATGTATACACTTTAGGTCACAATATGGGGGTCGAGAATAGATACTTTTATGTCTCATAAAATAATCATACACTTGAACTTTGCTTGTCCTCAAGCAAACATAGGTTCAACATCCTTCTCCTCGCTAAATCTTCACAATGGCACGAAACGTAAGAAGCTTACAAGGTAAACCCTTGCACTTAGAAACCTTTAATCCTAGCAATGATACTCGGAACGTAATTCGTATGAAGGATATGATTCGCTTCTCACCAGATGGAGTTTTTATTCTTCCTCAAGTCTTCTTTCATGAATATTGGGGCGAAGTATATGTAGCTGACTCGAATCTAACTACACATCCTAATCGACGGTCAAGTATAATAGACAACCGGGTGTAGGATAGGGTAAGTAAGAAATAATAATTTATCAAACCACAGGGATCTAAGCTTACCTTACATAAGGTTTCGGTTTCGTTATCTAGCCAACCTAGGATAGTGATTAGGAAACTAAGCTAACTAACCTAGCTAACCACTAACTTAGCTATTTACCGGGTTGGGAGCTTTCTAGGGTTACATCCCCCTAGTTCCAAAATTTGGATCGACGTTGAGTACCATCCTAGTTCGATCATCTCAATTACTCTATTGTTAGGAGCTACACTCACTCGGGAATTACCCAAAACGTCATATTAATGGATGGGTAGGTTCTCTATTCAACCTAGGGTTTCATGTATTGCTAGGAGATCAATCCAATCAACCCAAACCTAGGGTTACACCTTTACACTCACAGATTGAATAGAATCAGCTACAGGGATCAATTTCCCTTAACTTGATCTTGGCCATGCGGTTCAGGGTCTGACCTAACACAAACCGCATGGTCGGGATGCGGTCTTGGGCTGACCTAGCAAAACCGCACTTTGGGGATGCGGTTTTGCTTCTCCAAAACAAACCGCACCCCCAAAGTGCGGTTTTGCCAACACAAACCGCACCCCCCCCATGAGGTTTGTGCGTCGTAATTATTTTCCAACACCAAACATGTTGCCATGCAGGTTGACAGATGTGGGGCTGCATGGCAGATGAAAACCACACCCTCCCCATGCGGTTTTCATTGATGATTTTGCCTATAAAAGCCAGCCCAGGAAACCTCTTCTCTTCACACCTCTCCTTCTCCTTTTTCAATTTTCTGTTGTAGCTACCTACTTGACTCACTTCTACTGTCACTCTAGGAATTGGCCAAGTGTAACCACTTCCTAAAGCGTAGTATAGCGGGTTTGGGTTTTAATGTCAACCCGGGTCCTAGTTTTGATGACTACTCGGTGAATTCTTGTTATCTAGCAATGAAACTTTAATGCAAGTCTAAACTAACAAACAAGCAAAGCAACTAAACGGTTGTTTTCAGGTTAAGAGAGGTCACCCGGATATGGTTCCCCCTAGACTGCAGTTAAGCCGGATTGCAATTACCAAGTTCAGTTTCTATGATAGTTATACAGCGGAAGATTCTTAAGCAGTCTGAAGTCTCGACTAAAGGTCTCCAGACCCTCTCAATATGAATCTCTAGCGGGCGACTAACCTCCACCGGAGTAAACACGATCGAGGGCACGGCCGTGCTTTGCTTCAGCCCGCCCGTGCCTTTGCCAAGTGTTAAATACACGGCCAGACTTTTGGGGAAAACACGAGCGTGCTTTTGGTGGACACGGCTGTGTTCTATTTTAGTCCTGCCCGTATTTTTAGCTAGTGTTTTCCAAACTCTGATCAAGTCTCGGCAGTAAAAGCACGGTCTAGGAACACGACCGTGTTCTGATTTAGGCATGCCCGTGTTTTGGCTCCAGCTCGACCGAATGACTTTCGAATGCCCCGAAACTCGTGCTTAGCCTTTCCTTCGTCGTCTGGGACCTGAAATATGACAAAGTAGCACAACCCGGCGTAAAATAGGCCAAAAATACACGACTATGCCCCTCAAACGGATAAGAACTAGGGTTGCAAATATGTGCAATTACATCGTTATCAAATTCCCCCACACTTAACCGTTTGCTTGTCCCCAAGCAAACCAAGTCAGACACAAGGTAAGCTCAAAACGTTTCAATCAAGCATGCTTTAGGGCATATCATATCGGCACAAAACTGGTGGATCATACTGGCTTTCGATCATTAACACATGGACAACCTCAATGACAACCTAGACAACCACCACAGATGACATTCAAATGCAGTAAAGTCGAGCAAAGGAAGAGTTCCCTTCTGTTCACCAACCAACATAGACTTGACTCAACCACTTATTCAAAACAGTCACTTCATGCACAAAACTCAAGATATCAGAATTTAGACCGAGCAATCTAGGTCCTCACCGGGATAAAGAGTATAGAGAATATGAGAAAATGAATCGCTCACTCTCGACCAGTGGGGTCAGGACAATTTGATGCGAAAAATGCGCATGCTTAATCTCTCAATCCCTAACATCTCTTCATCATGAATGCAGCCTCTAAGTGATAGAGTTCACATATGGGGTGTCACCACTAACTACTCCGGAGGTCTTAGACACAGGTTCAGATGACTGGCTAGGGTCTCGGACATGGGGAAAAGGCCTTTTAGGTGGTGGAAGTATTCAGACAGCATAAGGTTCCACATATCCAAACCCAACAAACTCACAGTCAATCAAACCAATAACTTTCTTTCTGCTATTCTGCATTACTCAAATTCTTCAGAGCACAAGAGCGAAGAAGGTCACATAAATGCTAGTATTTCTAAGCCAGACTGCTAAGAAACACTACTTAATGGGCATTATTAAGATTTTTGGTGGTGGCACTCTTTTGCTTTCATTTTTTTCTTTGTTTTTCTTTCATTATTTTTCATTTCTTAAGAGAACCACCACCTCCGCACATTTTCAACCACCTGCCCAACTTTTAAGCACTACCTCCAACCCTCACATTACGTTTAGCAGAAACAGCAGAAAACATGTAAAAATCACTCTGTGGAACCTTCTAAAAGATGCAAAAGGGTGACTTTTCATTGAAGACCGAAAGAAAGGAAAACACACGGCTCAAAGGGCTGACTAGGGGGTATGACACACCAGGACAGTCAATTTGGTCGTGGGCTAATCCTATGCCTCCATCATCTTAGCTAATGACAACGTGAATGCTGCACATCATGGAAGAGGAAACTATCGCACAAGAAAGAAACGAGCAGGCTCAAGTCTCACATGGCTACCTATATGCTCTATCTCTCGTTCTGATTCCCTGAACTAGATGCATAAATGACTGTCAAAAGCAAGTGATCAAACCAAGTCACATTTGGTAAGCAAACAGTTGAAAAACTGAACCCCTACACAATTCTACTGCTCATCTCAGTCATCATAATAGGTTGTCTTAGTCACACTCAAGTTGTCATGTATCAAGTCAAAAGCCATTCAATTCACTAATCACATCCACAGTGCCAATACGATTAAACATCAGGCAAACGGCAGTGCTTGGAGCCCTCAAATCTCGAGATTTGGACAGTGGACTAGGCTCCAAGCACATATATATACGTTCCAATTCATACAAAGAACCCCCCCACACTTAAATGCGACAATGTCCTCAATGGAGCAGAGGGAAGGGGAACGATGTTACCGTGAAAGGAGAACAGGAATGGGGACTGGAAGGCAGACCAGTCCAGAGAAGGAGGCACAGAGCTAGAGACAACAAAAACACACACTGGGTGAAAGAACCGGAGTTCCAGGTCTACAATCCATGATAAAAAAAACAAAACCAAACAAAACAAAACAACAAAAACATGGAGTCGCAGTCTGGAACACAAATGAGGTACAGAAGCAGCCTCTCGCCACTAGAAAGCATCACCACCATCGCCGGTGGGTGGAGGGTACTCATCCTCAAACCCCGGGGACTGCACGAACGGGTAGTAGACTGCATTCGGGTCCAAGCCCAGGTAAGACATGATGTAGTGCTGCCCTGACATGAGACGATGCCCTCGGTCCCCCTCACGATCGAGGCGGGTGTGAATGCGCTCCTGGCCGACCAGGATGCGCTCGTTCTGCTGAGCGATGGCAGCCAACTGGTCAGAAATGGGCACCATCACTGCGGAGGAGACCCAGGAGTCAGAGACCTGGGAGCAGTGGAGGAGCTCGCAGGGGCCTGGTCACGACGAACAGTGCGACGGGGAACCCGGCGTCCCCCAAATGCGCTCGACTCCAACTGGTCGCCCGCTGTAGGTAGAGGGGGCTGAGGAAGGCCCGCGATCCAGTGCAAACGCCCGTGGCGAGCAACCATGTGCTAGTGGCGGAGGGTGGACTCGCTAAGCGGGGTTGGCCCACGGACCAAGGTCATCCCAGTGTAGTCGACCCCGTAGTAGCGGGCCAAGGCGGTGATCACCGGGCCACATACAAGGCTGCGAGTCAGGCTGCTGGCGGCTTTGGTGAACATCCGGGCGAGCACAGAGCCCAGCTGGATGGTGTCCTCAGAACGACCCATCGCATCCATGAACTAGAGTGTCCGGAGTGTGACCCGGTTGGATGAACCTTTGCTGGGTGTGTAGGAATTGCAGAGCAAGTGGTTGAGGATCCGCCACTCCAGACGGAGGAGAGAGGCCCGCGTCTGGCTGGCAACGTACTCTTCATCCACATTGTTCGGCAGGCAAATGCGCTGGAAGTAAGCCTGGGAAGCGAAGTCGGTGGGATCAGAGATATGACAAAGTAGCACAACCCGACGTAAAATAGGCCAAAAATACATGACTATACCCCTCAAACGGATAAGAACTAGGGGTGCAAATATGTGCAATTACATCGTTATCACTACTTCTCTAGTGTTTTTGCGGTTAACGTTAACTCGTAAGTTTATTTTGTATTACTTTTTATTGTGATTTGTGATTTGTGATTTTTATGAAATTAGTTGAACTACTGTTTTTGCAGACGACATTCCAAAAGTTCACGCTTGGGTTACGGTGAAATGGTTACAAGGAAGAGACCGGAAAGGGGGTCACCTACGTCGGTGGCAATTTTAAGAAAATAAAGGTCGCTACCAGACCGATGCTTGAAGACCTCTATCAAATGTGTACTAACGTTACTTACATGGATGGAACGAGAAGAGTTGATCGTATGGTGTACCGATATCCAAACATAGAAGGCGGGTCATTGTGGCACGAGGAATATCTCATAACCACTCAGGATTAAGTAGATGTCATGCTCGAATTCTTGAGGTCTAATAATCTTTCCAAAGCCGAGATGTTCATTTACACCGAGGCGGTCGTAGGCGTTAGAGGTCATTCTGGAGACGGTCAAACATCTGGTATCCATGGTGGAGGTGAATTATATAGAGATCATCCCTACCAAAGTTACCATGATCCTCATTACTATTTTCAGTACCAAGAGCAAGGTGTGGTGGATTGGTAAGCTCTCTATTGGTTGTTTAATTTTGTCAAATAACAATATCTTATATTAAATAAATGCTACACTTGTTAGACTCTTTCTAAAGAGATGCATTCCTAAGGAAATGGGGTTTTAAGCGATTATCATGGTCCTCCCATTTCCTGGGAAAATCGGGTTTTAAGCGATCCTCAGATCCCCCCCCCCCTTTTCCTGTCAACCAGGTTGTGTTTCTAAGGAGATGTATACCTCTCCTAAGAGTATAACAAGAGTACCTTCTGGTTCGAATTGTACTAAATTTCCGAATTATGACTAACGTAATAATTGATTGTAATTACCTTAGCTGTTGCATACCAAGCGAAAAAATTCCAGGAGAAGTTGCAGAAGATGCGCGAGTTATGTCCGGAAGGGGCACAATGGCTGGATGGACACGACCTATCCATGTGGACATTTCATAAAGACGGAGGTATAAGATGGGGGTATTGCCACAACGAACTCAAGTGAGAGTATCAATTCTTCCTATAAGGGTGTTCAGGCGCTGCCAATCTCTGCCATTGTGGAGATGACTTTCTGGAAAATGAATGTATGGTTTGTCAATCGACTACACTGGGCAAGGACGAACGAGGCACAGGGAAAGGTCCATGCCAATAAATTCACAGAAATACTGGAGCATGACAATCGCAAGAGTAGTCGACACAGTGTAACCGTTATGAATCGGGCATCTGGCGAGTTTAGCGTGACGACCGGACACCGTGAGGATGGTAGATGCGGGGGCCATCGCCATGAAGTTTCGGTAAATTTCAGGACAAAACTTGGTAAGTGCTCATACCAGAAGTATCAGGGGAGAGGGTGGCCATGTTCTCATGCAATGGCTGTAATTAAAAACAGGAGCAAAGACCCCCGTCACTTCGTCAGTACATTCTTCAATATCGAATCACTCAAAAATTGCTATGAACGGAGTTTCCGTGCATTGCCTGATGAAGCTTATTGGCCGGTGTACTCAGGAAAGTTGATCATCCCGCCGTTCGGACAACGACGTGAACCGGGTCGACCGAGGAAAAAGAGAATACATAACGAAATGGATCAAAGTGGAAGACCACCACGAGGCCCAAGACGATGTTCAGTCTGCAGAGTTCCAGGGCATGATAAACGAAGTTGTCCAGGTCCGATTGGTCCACAAAATCCGGGTCCTGATGTGGGGGACTCAGCTAATGCGACATAGTTTGCATTTATCATTTGTTGGTACTTGTTATGTATGTTTTCACTTATTTTCGGAGTTAGAGCTATGATGCTTGGAACTTGCGTGTTTGGAAAATAACCCTCAATTAACACTCAAGACTTAAGTTGAAATAACACTCAAGTCAAGTACATAAAACTAAAATAAAAACTAAAACAACACTCAATTAAATAAACTAAAATAGGACGAAGGGTTTCAAGTACATATAATTAAAACATAACTAAAAACAACACTTAAAATGATAAACTAAAAATACATCTCAAGGAAGTCCCTGGGACTCATGGGGCTGCAAGGTTTTTTTGCTCCTTGTACGATGGCCGACGGGAGTAACAATCGGTGGTTGCCGTGGCAAGCTTCAATGGGCCATGTTAGGGCACTCGTCAGTGCTGTGTCGGCGTCGATCCGTGGTAGGCGGCGCTTCCGGGGTCGAGCGGGGGACATCCACGCTCATACGGTGATGGATAGGAGGCCACGACTGATGAGGGCGAGGAATAGGATTGAAGTTGTGATGTGCAGTCGTGGAGGAACCATCATGCCAAGTACCCAAGGATGTGGGGCGTTTGTTGTAGAAGTTGGGGCGGGGATCTAGGGGGTAGATCGGCCGAGGATCATAGTATGGTGGGCGGGGATCGTGGTATGAGATCGGGCGGGGATCATATGGGGATCATCATGGGAGAGGCTCGGGCGAGGATCTTAATGTGAGCTCAGACCGCCACCGTGTGCCACAACCAAGGGTGGTGGCACTCTCCACCCCTCCAACGACCTTATCTCGGGCACATGAGGTCTTTCCCGAACCTTCTTGCTTTTCTTTCTCTCGTATGGTGGTGGGGGATGGGGGACATCAACTTGTACCGGAGGTGGCACCAGTGAGGGCATGGGCAGGTATCTACGATGATCATGACCCTACAGCCAAGCAAACTGTTTGTCATCCTCCTGATGAAGTCCACATCTTCACTGCCCATTTCAAGTTTCCTGACTCACTCCTACTGTCACTCTAGGAATTGGCCAAGTGTAACTACTTCCTAAAGTGGTATAGCGGGTTTGGGTTTTAATGTCAACCCGGGTCCTAGATTTGATGACTACTCGGTGAATTCTTGTTATCTAGCAATGAAACTTTAGTGCAGGTCTAAACTAACAAACAAGCAAAGCAACTAAACGGTTGTTTTCAGGTTAAGAGAGGTCACCCGGATATGGTTCCCCCTAGACTGCAGTTAAGCCGGATTGCAGTTACCAAGTTCAGTTTCTATGATAGTTATACTGCGGAAGGTTCTTAAACAGTCTGAAGTCTCGACTAAAGGTCTCCAGACCCTCTCAATCGGAGTCTCTAGCGGGCGACTAATCTCCACCGGAGTAAACAGATTGAGGCCCTAACGAACAAAACCTCCACTACCGAAGTGAATTCGGTACAGAATAGTGAGTTGGCTCCTCTACTAAAGTCACCAACTCCCTACCTTCAATCAAGGATGCTCTATCAACCTAGGCAGATATTCTCATTCTAGGTTAAAGCAGAAACAACAGGAATTTGATCAGGATTCATGCCATTCAATCATTCAAACCTCAATTGAATATAATCAAATCATAGAATCAATACTTGGGTTCATACAATCAAACCCAACATACAAATCTAGGGTTTCCCATACCCAGATGAATGGGAGAACTACTCCATGGAGAAAGAAGCAAAAGCAGATTCAGACGCGGAAATCATACTGTGAAGGTTGGATTTCTGCTCCTGGACGTTGATCGGCACTCCTCCAAGCTCAAGCCAAGCTCCAATGGTGATGAAGATCAAGCTAGGGCACTTGGGAACTCTTGTTTGTTGCTTTCTCTCTCTAGGAATCGCTTTGTCTCTCTAAAACTCGAATCCCCCTTCTCTTTTGGCTGAAATCTGCCTAAAAAACCCGATTCTGGGCAAAACACGGTCGAGGGCATGGCCGTGCTTTGCTTTTGCCCGCCCGTGTTTTGCCCCGTGTTAAAAACATGCCAGCGCGCGTCGGCCAAAACACGGTCGTGCCTAAATATGGGCACGGCCGTGTTTTGATTTAGGCACGCCCGTGTTTTTACTACCGAACCTGTTCCCCTATATTCAATGCTTCGTTTCTCCCTCGTCCGGACTCCGAATCAGTCGCCGTTTGATCCCAGACGCTCGTAGTCTCATCCTCTTTCTTTTCATGACAAGCTTGCATGATTCTTTGTCCATAAAGTGAGGTATAAGTCCATTCTTCTTCAGGTCAGGCCAAAGTTTCTTCTCCCTAATCACCAATTGATCTCTGATTGACTTGAAACTTGCGCCTATGCTTCACTTTATGTGCTAGGACCTGAAATGTGACAAAGGAACACAACCTAGAGTACAATAGGCCAAATACGCGATAATTAAAGCTCAAACGATCAAGAAACAAACGGGAAACCATGTGCAAATATCGAGTCATCAAATCCCCCCACACTTAACCGTTTGCATGTCCCCAAGCAAACCAATTCAGACACAAGGTAAGCTCAAAACGTTTCAATCAAGCAGGCTTTAAGGCATATCATATCGGCACAAAACACGTGGATCATATTGGCTTTCGATCATTAACACATGGACAACCTCAACGACAACCTAGACAACCACCACATATGACATTCGAATGCAATAAAGTCGAGCAAAGGAAGAGTTCCCTTCTGTTCACCAACCAACATAGACTTGACTCAACCACTTATTCAAAACAGTCACTTCATGCACAAAGCTCAAGATATCAGAATTAAGACCGAGCAATCTAGGTTCTCACCGGGATAAAGAGTATAGAGAATATGAGAAAATGAATCGCTCACTCTCGACCAGTGGGGTCAAGACAATTTGATGCGAAAAATGCGCATGCTTATTCTCTCAATCCCTAACGTCTCTTCACCATGAATGAAGCCTCTAAATGCTAGTGCTCACATATGGGGTGTCACCACTAACTAATCCAGAAGTCTTAGACACAGGTTCAGATGACTGGCTAGGGTCTTGGACATGGGGAAAAGGCCTTTTAGGTGGTGGAAGTATTCATAGCACAAGGTTCCACATTTCCAAACCCAACAAACTCACAGTCAATCAAACCAATAACTTTCTTCCTGCTATTCTGCATTACTTAGATTCTTCAGAGCACAAGAGCGAAGGAGGTCACATAAATGCTAGTATTGCTAAGCCAGATCGCTGAGAAACACTACTTAATGGGCACTATTTAGATTTTTTATGGTGGTTCTCTTTTGCTTTCATTTTTTTCTTTGTTTTTCTTTCATTTTTTTTTTCATTTCTTAAGAGAACCACCACCTCTGCACATTTTTCAAACACCTGCCCAACTTATTAAGAACTACCTCCAACTCTCACATTAAACCACTCTGTGGAACCTTCTAAGAGATGCAAAAGGGTGATTTTTCATTGCAGACCAAAAGAAAGGGTAACACACGGCTCAAAGGGGCTGACTAGGGGGGTATGACACACCAGGACAGTCAATTTGGTCGTGGGCTAATCCTATGCCTCCATCATCTTAGCTAATGACAACGTGAATGCTGCACATCATGAAAGAGGGAACTATCGCACAAGAAAAAAAACGAGCAGGCTCAAGTCTAACATGGCTACCTATATGCTCTATCTCTCGTTCTGATTCCCTGAACTAGATGCATAAATGACTGTCAAAATCAAGTGATCAATCCAAGTCACAGTTGGTAAGCAAACAGTTGAAAAACTGAACCCCTACACAGTTCTACTGCATATCTCAGTCATCATAATAAGTTGTCTTAGTCACACTCAAGTTGTCATGCATCAAGTCAAAAGCCATTCAATTCACTAATCACATCCACAGTGCCAATACGATCAAACATCAGGCAAACAGCAATGCTTGGAGCCCTCAAATCTCGAGATTTGGACAGTGGACTAGGCTCCAAGCACACAAACAGATCTAATGCAGTCAAAAGATAAACATCCCCCCACACTTAAGATCGACATTGCCCTCAATGGAGAAGAGGGAAGGATAAGGGGAACGATGTTACCGGTGTGCACGGACTACATGAGACTAGAAGCGGACCCACCGAGTGAAGCGGACTGAGAGGGACCACTTTGGAACAAAGCACAGCTAAAGGGGAACAGAAGAGCTCAAACACAATATGTTAGGTCCAATGGTCAGCCCAATAATACATCATCCAAAACAAAAGAACACAAACCAAAACCAAACCGGTTTGCAATCCGACTCAAAACACAAGAAAGAAAGTCAAACCGTGGTGGGGTTGCCTCCCCACAAGCGCTTCTTTACCGTCTTTTAGCTGGACGCCCATGGTGGATACTCAGCGGGGTGTAGGAACAGGTGACTCCAAGAGCGGGTCCACGTCGCTTTTGAGGTACAGCTTCAGGTTGTGGCCATGCACCCGACGGGTGCGACCACCAGCATTGCTCAGCTGGACCTGGCCATCCGGCAAGATGCAGGCAAGTGAGTACTCGGATGGCCAGGGTGGTCGTGGTGCAGGAGGTGGAACCAGCTCGTAGTGGTCTCCACCTTTCTTCCGTCCAGGCTTAGCAACCTGCTGCTTCGGCCGCCACTCCTCCTTTATCTTTTTGTTCGAAGGCGAGGCTGGATGGAGTGGCGGCGAAGGAATGATAGGAGGGTCCTGCAAAATGAGAGGTGCAGAAGGATACACGACAGGCTCGTGTACCTGATCAGAAATGGCATGCACAGGTGTGACAGCAATCATAGCACAGTGATCGAATTCAGTCACAGAAAAAGTAGCTTGTTCATTCCCAGCACGCAGGATCAGTTTACCATCATGCACATCAATAAGTGCCTTGGCGGTGGCAAGAAATGGTCTACCCAGAATCAAAGGCACATCCACATCCTCATGTATATCAAGAATAACAAAATCAACAGGATATGTGAATGCACCTACATTAACAAGCAGATCCCCAATGATCCCCCTAGGATGCACAATGGAACGATCAGCTAGCTGAATGCTCAGCCTAGTAGGGCTCAGTTCACCTAGGTCTAGCTTTTTATACAACTTATATGGCATGACATTTATGCTAGCGCCTAGGTCCGCCAAGGACTGGCCTACATGCATGCTGCCAATAATAAGAGGGATAGTAAAACTCCCTGGGTCATTGCACTTTTCGGGCAGCTTGTTCTGCAGGATAGCAGAACACTCCTCGCTCAGCAACACTGTCGAGAGATCCCCAAGTTTCTGCTTGTTGGTGAGGAGATCTTTCATGAACTTCGCGTACTTGGGCATCTTCGACAGTGCCTCCACAAACGGTATGCTGATGTTCAGCTGCTTCAACATTGCCATAAACTTGGCAAACTCAGTCTCCAGCTTGTCTTTGTGTAGGCGAGTGGGGAAGGGAAGCTGGGGTACATGCTCCTTAACCACTGGTTGTGGCTTGGGAGCAGAGGCTTCCTTCTCCACCCGCACTTCTGCATCGTCGGCTGGAAGTGCTCAAGCAGGTAGTGGTTCCTCCTGCCTGGCAGGGACAGGATCAGCGGATATGGTCTTACCGCTCCTGGTAAAAATGGCATCCAGCTGCTGGTGTGGCTCCCGTGGATTGGGGATGGTAGTGGCAGGTAGAGTTCCCGGGGATCGGGTATTAATTTGGCGAGCCATGTCACCCATCTGGTTTTTCAAATCTTGCAAAATGGCACCTTGGTTCCTCTGACCTGCCTCCAGTGACGCTATACTCTGGTCCAGCCTCGTGACAGTTGCCTGGGTGGCAGTCATGAATGAAGCTAGAATATTTTCCAGCTTCGTCATCTGATTATCTGGAGCCGGAGCTGCTGCTGGCTCAGCATACTGACGCTGGGGCTGCTGGAATGGTTTCCCCTGCTTAGGATGGTAGGGCTGCTGCTGTGGGGCTGGCCCCTGTCGAGCATGGAAGGGCTGCCTCTGCTGAAAACCACCAGCTGGTGCCGGAAAACCAGGTGGTTTAGTGGTGTTACTACTCCAAGCGAAGTTGGGATGCTGGCGCCACCCCTCATTGTGTGTGTTACTGTATGGATCGAGGCGCCGCGCATTGGCGATGAAGGCCAACTGCTCCTGGGGTGTAGAAGACTCCCTCATAGCCTGGCAGTCTTCCACTAGATGATTTGAGCTCTCACACCACTGACATTGAGCTACTGGAGGTGTAGC